GGGCAATAACTGATTTATTCCACGGTTCAATTATACTTCTATACTATTTCTTCAATAGATGACGTAACTGATAAGTGCAATTTAAATACAAAAAAAAAAAAATTGATTAAACAAAAAACTCTTTCCCAATGTCTTCGTCAAACAATCTTGAATCGGCTCATGAACTAGAACATAATACATCTAATGAATCTAATAATATAACTGTAGATAATATTCAACGTTATATTAAAAAATCTAAAATCCAAAATACTGATGCTTGTACACAAAAATGGGTTCGAAGTTTACAAGAATATCGTAAAAAAAAAAATATTTCTTATGATATTCAAACACTTAATGATAAAAACCAGCTTGAACAAGAATTGTGTGAATTCTTCGCAGATATGAAACGTCAAGATGGAAAACCATATAAACCAGAATCAATCGTATCTGCTTATACCTCACTTCGTCGTTACTTGTTTGAAGGTTCTGCAATTAAGAATGTAAATATCAATGATAGATTTCAATTTCCTGTATTATATCGTGTTGTAGATGGAAAAATTATGGAATTACAAGATCAAGGATTAGGGAATATTGACCAATCAAAAGGTCTAACTACAGAAGAAATTCGTCAGATCATGTCATATCTTAAATCTGGTGAACAAACGGCATTAAAACTTACTTGGAAAGTTTTTTTCTGGAATGCATACTTGCTTGGACTTCGTGGTGGTGATCACTATCGACTTTTATTAAGCTGTTTTGATTTTCAATCAGATGGAAGTTTAATTTTTATAATTGGTCGTGAGAAAAATAATCAAGGTGGATTAAAAGGTCGAAGCAAATATGGAAGATTTACTAGCCGTCGTATTCATATTCCTGCTGATCAGCCTAATAATGAATTTAAGCCAGTTCAAGATCTTTATAATTATGTTAGTTTGCGTCCATTAGATGCATGTGAATATTTTTACTTGCAATTAACAAGGAATGCTCAGGAAATTAATAATGGAAACTGGTTTAGTAAAGATAAATTAGGAAAAAATACCTTAGGTAATATGATGAAAGAAATTGCACGTGCTTCTAGTATTAATGTTGATGATCAAAGAATTACTAATCATTCGGGAAGAAGAACTGCTATTCAACTTTTATCGGATCTTAATGTCAATGAGCATGAAATGATGCAATTTTCAGGTCACCGCTCAACTAATGGGCTACGTACTTATAAAAATCCTAATGATCAACAACGGCTTAAAAATTCTACTTTGTTACTTAATGCAATTCAAGAATCTCCAATTGTACAACAAGAATCTCAAATTATACATCAAGAATCTCAAGTTATGCAACAAGTTATGCAACAAGAATCTCCAGTTATACAAGATTTTCAAATTACACAACAACACGAAGTTCAAGTCACACAAGATAAAGAATTTCAAAATACACAAGTCACACAAGATAATTCTTCGATCATGCAAGAATTTAATACTACTATTACACAAGTTAAATCGCAAGTTTCACGTCAAAATATTCATAAAAAAAAACCAAAACTTACATACAAAGAAGTTCAAGCAAAGCTGAACAAGCCATTCCGAATTCCATTTAAAGATATTCAAGATCAAACCCAATTTATTGAAACGGCAAATAATACTCAACAAATTGAATCAACCAAAGATACTCAACAAATTAAAATGACAAAAGATACCCAACAAATTGAAATGACAAAAGATACCCAACATATTAAAACAACAAAAGATACACAATGTATTGAGAATATTGAAACGACAAAAGATGGGACTACCAATATTTTCAAGTTTCATAATTCCGGAGATGTTAAAATTATATTTAATAACAAGTAGAGCAATGATAAATATATATCATGTAATCGAGACAAATGTATTAACATTAAATAAATAGCTGCAATTTGCAATTTAAAGAATTTTAAGTTTTAGCCTAAATAAATTTGCTTGGTCTAGAGAATCTTAAATAGCTACGGCTAAAAAAAAAAAAAAAAAAAAACTAACCAACCTAGTCTAAAGAACTTTAAATAATTACCGCTAAATAAAGAGTAACTGACCTTAAGAATTTTATATAGTTACGACTAAAAAAAAAAAAAAAAAAAAAAAAAAAAAACAATTAGATTTAAAATCCGGATCAGTCCAAGATCCGGGCAATAAATGT